CTGCCAACTTTGTTCAATCAACTGAATACGATTCTCTACTGCGAATAATCTTGCCGCATATACGCTGTCCGAAAAATAAAGTGACATATTTCTCAAAAAATATCAATTTATTCACCAATTTCTATTTTGTCCCGTTCACAGTAGTCCCCCTCTTAGTTATAATAAAATTGTGTTTTCCAATCCTCAATCGTCGCAAAACGCCGTCCTTTCACGGGTCTCTTCAATCTTGGCAATAAGAAAAGTCACAGGGGGCCAAATCTGGTGAATACGGTGACTGAGGCATAATTAAGTTGGCCAAGAAATTACGAACAAGCAACGATGAGTGAACAGGTGCGTTATTGTTTTGCGAAAGCCATAAGTTGTGTTTCCACACCAGACGTTTTTTTCGTATTTCTTCTCGTAAGCGGAGCATAACTTCAAGATAATACTAATAATGATCATACGCTCAAGTATATTGAGCGTATGACCATGTGGCAAGAAGTCGTGATGGACTAAGCCACGGTAATCGAAGAAAACAGTGAGCAAAACCTTGTCATTTAATCAAACTAGGCATGCTTTTCTCGGTCTTGGTTCTCCTGGGCTATTCCACTGGGACGATTGTACTTTGGTTTCGATGTCATAACCATATACCCTTTTGAGCAAATCTGGATCGTCGTTGACGTCATTCAACGACGGTTTTTTGGTCAAAATTGAGCAATTTTGGATCGAACTTCGTTGCCACACGCTTCATGTTCAAAATTTTCGAAAAATTTGCATCGCTTAAGCCAACCGATATACCAACATCGTCAGCAACTTCTTTAACAGTAATTCAACAATTCTCCATGACCCTAAATGTCGCGTGGAGCCATGAGAACGACCTCAACTACAGCATTTGAGATCCTACTCGAACTTTCACCATTGCACATCTACATACAAAGAGAAGAAACACACAGGCTAATGCAGGGGCAAACCCCAATCAGCCAGTCACACGGTGCAGGATACTTGAAACTGTACAATGAACTGAAGACAGGAATAAGACAGTCCCGCAGTACAACTTTCAAAAAGATTTCAAAATCATCATACCAAGTAGAGAGGACTGGCAAAACGGCGCACTGGTAAAAGCGAAATAAACTTGGTATACAGATGGCTCAAAGACCCAAGAAGGAGTGGGTGTCGGTATTAACGGAGGCAGAGCAAAGACGACCATCGCATTCAGCCTCGGACATAATGCAACTGTGTTCCAGGCAGAAGTAACGGCCATCGAACACTTTATAGGAGAAATAAACAGGCAGAAGGTCACAAATAAAACTATTGCCATCTTCTCCGGCAGCCAGGCGGCAATTAGGGCACTCAGCTCATTTCAAATCTTTTCAAGACTGGTGGAAAGCTGTCTGAACGCACTCAAAGAGCTAAATACAAAATAGGGTCACTCTAGCTTGGGTACCCGGACATGAGGTTCACAAGGGCAATGAGGAGGCCAATGTTCTAGCCCGTGAAGGCGCATCCAAGACTACGATTGGCCCAGAACCCCTCTGCGGGGTAGCGAAAGCATGTATAAAGACGTCCGCAAGCCAAATCGATAGATTGGTGGAATACGCTCCCAGGAATGAGGCAGGCGAAATAGTTCATGAAGAAACCGTCGCCCAGATTCACGGAAGATCTGCTAAATCACAACCGTAAGGTTGTAAAGGTAGTGATGGGTCTACTAACGGGGCATAGCCGACTCGAGAAATATATAAGCAACATGGGTCTGACAGAAGACACCCAATGAAGGTTCTGTCAAGAAGAGGAAAAAACCGCACTACATGTGCTCTGTGAATGCGAAACGATAGCTAGGCTGAACCACGCAAGATGCGGAGAAGAGAACCAGAGGCTGCCAGGGTCAGTGTCAAGGCTGTGGAGTCTCATCAAAGAGATCAAGCTAGACAATGAGCTCTAACAACCAAGGAGCATCACAATAGATCTGAAAAGGTCGCAGTGAATCAGGCCATGAGCCAGCTCCCCGACAATCTAATCTAATCTAATCTAATCCATAACCCTTTTCTTAACTTTCTCAACATTTTCATCGGTAGTGGATGTGCTGGGACGTCCAGGGCGAGCATCGTCATTCACATCTTCTCGACCCTCTAAGAAAAGCTTGTACCACTTGTAAAATACCCAGCGACATGATTGTGCCAAGACATATTGGTGTCCATTTCAACCTCCAACAAACTTATCGAAGCATAAAGTGGAATTGTCTGATCTGACATTATTATATCTGATTCGGAGACATTTATCTTCTTGGAGAAAACTGATGCCAGGGCTTTTGTGGCATTGAATCAAACCTGGTCACTTTCACCCCAATTCGAAATCAATTCTAGATCCTCATTAAGATATGCAACCTCCTGCTGCCGGTGAAGATGTGCCTCCTTAGCCGATGTCCTGGAATCCAAATGGAATGACGAGACAAGTGTGTTGTTGTCCTCAGCAGAGCAATATATTGGGTTCTTGGCTTTTTGCAACAAGTCGTTGATATATAACAAAAAGAGAGTTGGAGACAATATGGATCCCTGGGAAACACCAGCGTTGATGGTGAAAGTATATTGGTTTGCACATTTTGACAAAACATAAAAGATAATCTTCGTATGATTTAGAATAAATACCAAAAACAAATCGTTTAATAATGCAAGGAACACCCTTTTGTCACTGATAATTTCAAAATGCAAATATAACAGCTGTCTCTACAGTTGGTGACACTATAAAGGTGGGATCGCCGAGAACAATCCGCCCAACATATGAGAGAAAAAAATTGTTAGTGTCGTATTTTTGATTTGCATACGATTAGTTGTTTCGTATGAATGAAATCATTGATAATTTGTTTGCCGGTTGCATAAATCTGAATAACACATGCGTTCTATAGGCGCGAACAATTCAGTTAAATGCGAAGGTCTCTTAACTAAATTTACCGAAGATACTTCGTTAATGTGGCACAGCTGTACCTATAAATACACAGGGTCCCGCGTCGGTTGTCAATATCTCATATCCTGTTGCGTTTAAAGACTTCTCTCAAATCCAGAGAAGAGAACCGTGGATGCATAACTGTCGGTAGCATTTAGAATTTGTACCTCCCGGCGGTTCCAAAATCAACAGACTCGACAGTAACAGCGTCTTGAATTGGGTAAAAAGGTTCAATTTCAACGCAGAAGTGAACCTTATATGCGCCAAGTGCGGCCGTAATTTTTGTGAGGCAGAACCGTTGTTCAATACAAGATTACGTGATAATCCGATCTGCTGAAGAGATCTCAGGGAATTGGTTGAAAATTTCCAAACAACTGGAAGAGTAGCAAGAGCTAGGGGAGCTGGAAGAAAATCTATCTCGGTCGAGAAACAGACAGAAGTCGTTGCGTCTTTAGTGAATAACCCCCTGCAGTCCTCGACAACAGTGTTGGTGAAAATGACGTCTCAACATTTTCACTTTCTGTGAAAACCTTGTACCACTTGTAAAATACTGTTTTTTTGGACGAGCAGACAAAATTCTAGGACGAGCCGGAGACGTAGGTATATTTAAATGCCTTTTGTTGCAGAAGGTAAAGTTTCCGTCTCACATTGATTGTGTCCATCCGACTGTATATACTTTTTATTTGGAAAAGAATGAATGTGAATTCAAAGACGACTTTGTAGAACTTGATGGTTTCTGCCTGGCTTATCTGCTCTTCTGTCACGCACGCCAACACCTTAATTAGTTTTGAGCAATTGTTTGTTTTTGAGTCCGGCTCGTAGGACCATGTATTGACTTGAATGGATATAAGTGGATTGTATTTACTTTTTATTTGAAAATAAATGAATGTGAATTCAAAGAAGACCCACTTTGTGGAACGCAGGCCAATACCTTAATTTGTTTCACGTCCTTGTTTAGTTTTGAGTCCACCGAATGTTTTTCTAGATTAATCCGGCTCGAAGGACCATGTATTGGCTTCAATAGATTTTAGTGGACTGTATCTACTCTTTATTTGGAAAAGAATGAATGTGAATTCAAAGAAGACCCACTTTGTGGAACTTGATGGTTTCTGCCAGGCTTGCCTGTTTCTCTGTCATGCATGCCAATACCTAAATTGGATACACGCACTTGTTTAGTTTAAGTTCACCGAATGTTTTTCTAGATTAATCCGGCTCGTAGGACCATGTATTGATTTGAATGGATTTTAGTGGACTTTATTTACTTTTCAACTGAATATTTGACAGATGTATCTGTTCATTGTCGGTTACAATCGAACTCATTTACATTTTTGACCTGTCTTGATCGTTCGAGACGATATTGCGACAAAAGTGTGACTTGTGCAAAGTAATTCTTCAGGAACATATTATTGAACTGAAATATCGTTATGAAAAATGGTTCATACAAGACAAGGGTCAAAAAATAAGTGGCCAGATACAGCTAAACACTAGCGGCCCACTTAGGAAGGTACAGTTCCCGACAACAACCTCCTGAGAAAATAAATGTCAGGGAATATTGGGAAATCATATTGTAATTCCTTTTACAAATATTTGTTCAACTCTGATATCTTGCCCCGTTTAACAGTAGAGGGAAGGAGGCTATTTACGTCTACATGTAGATATTTTATAAGAGAATTGATATTCAACGGTCGTTATCAATAAAATTATTCATTATGGTAGATAAACATATATGTGACATATTTTTATACTCCCCTTCCCTTCGAAACAAGTTTGGGCCACCATCGAAACAAGATCCTATATAGGGTTTGTCACCACGTGCATAAACGAGGAATTAAATCGAACTCCAGCATATTGATTTTGATAAAATAAATGGTAATACTGGAAAGTATTAGTAAAGTAAGAAAATAGTTTTCATTTCCTGGAGACCCTGGTCGTGCCAAAAATATCCATTCTCAATAAAATAAATGAGAATACAGAGTTTACATGGAGCATTCTGTAAAGCTTATGCAAATATCTTGAGCTTTCATTATTCCACCGCGAAAAAAATAAACTAAGGGTTATAAGATAAAAATTAAACTGAAACTCACCAGGTCTCGAATAACTGGACGGGGCCGTCTCGATAGGCATCGTCCTAGTCGGCGTCTCGATAGGCATAGTCCTAGCAGGCGTCCACGCCGGTTTCCTATCCGGCTCCTTGGGCGGCGACTCTCTTTCCTTCAGCGGCGGCGTTTCGAAATTCGCGCGCGGGCTCGGTCCCGTCACCGACAGATGGCGCGGACGTGGTGGCTGCGGCGACGCACTCCTCCCTAACTTGGGGAGGCTTGGGGAGGCCCGGCCGCCCGGAAAGGTGGCGTTGCGCTTGTGGCGGCGCGGGAAGACCGCCAGCAACTCGACCCACCAGCGTGCGTCCTCGCGACTCGCCGCCTTCACGAAGGTCACCCGATCGGGACTCGTGAGGGCGAGAGAGTGGGGATGGCCGGTGACTTGCTCGGCGCCCGTAACTTCGAGAACTTTGCACATGTCGACTGATCCTTGGGGTACCGTGTCAGGCTGGAAGAGAAAAAAAGCAAAGTTAATAATGAAACAGAACAACGAAGGTAAGATAAGTGTATTTGATCAAAGGGTGTAAAGTTTTGAGGTCCGAGAGAACTACGTCAAAGTTATTTTTCGGATTTATTATTACCAAAGGCGGTGAGACAACGGACGAAGTGCTGGGCTTGTCCTCATACCAGATACCACATTATTATTGGAAACCAAGCCACTTTCCACTACTGTGAGAACAACCGGAACACTTCATCCGTTGCTTCATCGCCTTTGATAATGCCTACCGCAGACACAAGTATGTGTTCTGTCAAGTCTAACGCACACTGCGACAGGACGGCACTGGACGAGAACAAGACGAGACGTGGCCTTGAAGCGGAGACAGCACGGCATCTGTCTGGCCCGTCCTGTTCCCGTCCTGGCATATGCCGGTCCGTTGCCTACCTTAGTGCGTGTCTCCCATAAGAAACTATAGAAAGAGATGAATACATTCACGTCATGTTCCCGTTCCGGCATGTTCCCGTCCCGGCATGTTCCCGTCACGGCATGTTCTCGTCCTAAGTCGTCCTGTCACCTTGCATAAGCAGTGTGCACCTTGCATAAGCAGGACTCGAATTTCTTCGTGAAGAATAATCCACTCCCACATTGCCATACCATGGTACATTTTCCTCAATCTAGTGAGGACCTGATTGGCGGTGTCTGTGACTTCCTTCGCCAGGTAGATATCTTAGGACCTGACAAATTTCAGGGAGAGAGGATACTAACTGTACCCACGCTTTTGTGATACTCTCAGGTGGCATATAGCCATCCAGGCTGGAATGTGCAGCTCTTGAATCGTACTTGTGCACCAACTTCAGGAAAAAATCCAGTTGATTGGTCGATATTGAGGTTGTCGAATGTGAGATTCCCTAGCCACCTTAATAGCCGTAGAACGTACCCATATGAGGGCATCTACAATCGATATACATGATGATAGCTCAAATTCAACCATGCAAGGTTAGTCCGCCTTTGGTTTGAGTGAATTATCGTTAGAACATAAGCGTTCGCAGGACCTACTCAGAGGCGTATTGTTACCTCTCCTGATACAAATTCTACTTCCACTGCTCAAGAATTCGATGCAAGGCAGATTCATAACGTACCCGGCTCTTGAGGAAGTAACAAGTCTCTTCCTGGCTGCATCATCTGGCTAGATGAGGCTTCCTAGGTGTGTTAATAGGATCAGGAATTCAAAAACTGAAAAGCTCTTAACCTTGATCCGATTTTACAGGGAGAACGGTTGGAGTCATTTAGTCGACGACGTCCAACTCCTATGAGGAATTATTTGGTTACTTTGTTCAGAATCCACAAGTAGCTAGGGAAAAAAGCCCATTGCAACAGAGCTCGCATTATCGTGAGAAGGCTTTCTACTTGGAAAGGGGAGATCGCTGAATGGACTCTGAGTTAAACATCCTTTCGGTAAGAATATATCCGGCAGGTGTCAGTGCAAGATTCTTCACTGAAGTTATTCTTGCATACGCTGTTGGCGATACCACTGCCGGACTCGATTTTCAATTATTGGAACACACTTGCAGACCGGCTTCGGGCTGTTTGGTCACTCAGTGATCAGTACCATCTTTTCAAGCGCTTCGATAACTTTCTCACCGGTAGAAACTTCACCAATCGAATCCCGAGCACCCAATTTTCATGCTGACTGATCTGTATCTGTAGAGTATGGAGGGTGAGTGTAGGCCTACAGCACTTTGGCCACATGTGACCCATTGTACATCCTCCCAAGGAGTTGTCCTCCTAGGTCATCATCCATCCTGTCCTTTCCATGAAGGTGGACAGGTCTTTGGGAGACATCTCCTTTATATCGGCAGGTGTAGGCTAAGACTCTCCGAACACACACTCTCTTATTGACGATAACCCCGGACATTCGCATAGGACATACCTGACAGTTCCATTTCTCTGTTAACACATCCTGCATAGAGGTGTATCCACTAGCCCCATATTGTGGAGGTGTTTTCTTAGTTGACAGTGGCCAGTCAGAAATCCTACTGTCAAGCGTAGATTTTTCCTGGTCATCGCCAGATATTTCTTCGGCGCCAGCTTCCTAGGGTCGCCAAGGGTGATCCTGGCAAGATTGCATCTTTTGAGTCGGCAATGCGATTACCTTTACTCCTGTCGTGCCCTTTAATCCACCTCAGGATAATGTTATTATCTACCGAGGCTTTGGCTAAATCTTAGTAGCACACTGGTACTAGCCCTGATCTGTTCAAGGCTCTCAGTGCAGATTATTATGTTTTTGTCAGAAATTCCTTTCCTGGTTATTTCCTTTGTGGCGATTGAGATACCAGCCAGTTTTGTTTGAACCACGCTGGTATTTTTTCATATTCTCCACTTAATCCCTACGCTCAATGATCTGGAGTACACTCCACATCCTGAGCCTTCTTTGGTTTTTGAGCCGTCTGTATATATGCGTACTGCATTTGTAGATCTGACTCTGTGTTCTGTTTTATTTGTATTTTGTAGGGTTTATTAAACACAATCCTGGGTTCAATTGCATCCCTGATTGCCTGCAGCAGAGGTTGCGCAGTAAGCGCTTCTCGTCATAGGCTCAGCCTCAATTGACCCATTCCTACTTCGAGGTTTCCACCAGCCGTGCGCAATCGTAACTTGGCCATTAAAGCAACCTCCTTAACCTACAGGTCCAGAGGGGTCAGACCAGTAACCAATTCCATTGGCGCGGTTGGTGTTGTTGATATAATTTTTAGATGGTCGTTGCTTGTAGATTTTTCGATTCCCATGCAATGGCTCTGTACGTTAACATAGGTCTTTTAATGCAGTGTAGACCCAGGTGACCACACGGGGTGAAAGACCCCATGCGCATCCCACTGTCCTCCGACATTGCTCATAAGCCACAAATGCTTTTTTGCTCTACTCTGTAGGTG